TTTTCGTCTTTCTATGAATTTATCTCTTCGTCGTAAAAATCTTCTTTGTTTTCTATTCAATTTCGACATTTTTTTATCATCTCCAAAACTCTCCATTTTCTCCTCTTTATTTTTTTCTATTTTTTTCATCTTTCTGTTCACAGCCGCTTTACTTTCTATTGAAAAAGCTACTATGGGTCTTTTGTTCGGGGAGAAAATTGTAGGATTGTTGTTTATGTTTCGAAGAGCTGTCAAAGCATCTTCGTGATTGTCAAATGATACAAAACCAACTTCTTTCGATATGTGTTTTCCTTTCGAATCAAATTTGTTCTTTTCCCACATCACTTTGGCTTCTTTGATGACAGCTTTTGGATTACTGTACTTCATAAATAATTGTTTAAGTTTTGAATCGTCATACGATGAGGGAAGATTGTGTATTACTAAACGTGTTTTAGAAACAAACATATTTAAATTTTTTAGCATTTGAGTTTTCCACTGCTCCAATTGAAGTCTTTTCGACATGTCTGAAGCGGAAACACCGACAGCAGCTTTCGATCCAGCCACTACAACCCCTTCACGAACCAAATAAAGATTTCTCGAATCCTTGGGTAATTTTTTGTCTTTTTTCTTATTTTCTAAATTTTCCTTAGTTAAAGCATATGTGACAGTAACTGGATTTTCCTGAATGTAAATGTTATTCGAATCTTTAATACAAGCACTTGCACTATCAGCAGTCTGAAAAAAAATAAAGTTAAGTTTTTATTAAATATAATTAATAATAATAATAAATTATTAATTTTCACTTTAAGTCTATCGATATAACATTAAAATTACCTTGAACTTTACAAAACCTGTGCCTTTACTATGTTCTGTCAGTTTATCAATGCAAATTAACGCATATTCTATATCACCATAAGCTTTAAAATTTTCTCTAAGATCTTCATTGGTAGCAGAAAAGGGTAAATTTCTGATAAATACAGTTTTCCCATCTTCTGCATCACTTGGTCTGGCAGGTATTTTCAAATTTGTGTTTCCTGTCTTTTTTTTTATATCATCATCATCTTCCGATTCACTATCTTCAAAATCACTACCTTCATTTTCATCATTATGATCACTAGTTTCTATTTCAGAATCACTATCTTCATTTTCAAATTTATGAATACTAGTTTCATTATTGAAATCACTAATTATATTTTTAGAATCCAAGTCACTTGTTTCACTGTCGGAGGCATCATCTTTATTTTTCCATGAATCACTTTTTTTTGAATCAATTTCAAAATCAATGTTTTCAGTTTTAATTTCGTCTGATTTATTAGTAGTATTGAGTTCATTAACTTTCTGAAGATATGTTTTTTTAGGAAGTGCCCAATCTATAACTATTTTTCTACCTGAAGAGTATAAATGATTACAATATTACATTATTATTCGACAGTATATGTTTTAAAATTTAAAATGTATGTTATGAAAACTTACCATCAAGTTCTTTTTGATTTCCATAATATATAGCTTTAGCAGCGCTGGTAACTTTTTTAAATTGTACAAATCCACAACCAACTAATTTACCATTTGATTTTTTAAGCAATTTTATTTCTTCTATTTCTCCATATTCTGAGAATAAGTTTCGAAGTGTGTCTTCTGATAAATTTTTAAACGGAAGATTACGTACAATTATTTTAGCTTTTTTAGATTTATGACCATTTTCCATACTGTTTCCAATTTTTGATGAATTTTTATAATTTCTTTCTAAAAGTTTTTAAAAAATAAAATTTAAATTTAAATCCTTCATGTGGTGCATGTCAAGTTATTGAAAGTCAGTAGTAACAGAAGTTTTGATTAAATAATAAATAAAACCTTTTATTTTATTTAACCAAACTTCTGTCAAAAGACAGAAATACTATTCAGTACTTACTATGTAAAATTTCTTTGATCATTATTTATCTTAAAAGAAATATTTTTAAAATCTACTTTACTTTAAAAAAAAACATAGACATTAGGATTGAATATAAATTCCACTTCATAGAGTAAATAAACACCAAATCTTATTCTAATCCTCTTTTCCTTCGTTACTGTATTTAAAAACTTGAAAATTTTAACACTTAAAAGTATAATTTAATTTTTTTATTAAAAACAAAAGATTTAATAATTTTCTCTAATTAAAATATATCGTAATAAGTATAAATCGCAACTAATTAATCATTTAATAATTTTCAATTATTAGTTTTGGTGAATTTTCTTTTTGTGGAAAGTTTTATTAACAAACGTTTTTATATAGAATTTAATTTCTGTACACTTTTAAATTAATAATTAAACTAATTAAACACTTTATTTAAAACAATTTTTTTTTTTTTTAAAAACTATAATCATTAATACAAATATAAATTTTAATTAAGTTACAATTAATTATTTTTATCTGACTTTAATTTTATAAAATTGAAACTGTAAATTAATATTTTTCAAAGAGATTTCTATTATTGAATTAATAAAACTGTCTTTTTTTAACAAAAAAAAAAAGTTGACTGTTTTAAATTTGAAATTCTTAAGGTAAATTAATTATTTTAATTAATATTGAATGTTTTTTATATGATTTTTTTTTATTGAAATTTACATATTTAATCGGGAAAACTTTAATGGAAGTATTTTACGATTATTTAAACGATATAGATAGTCATAATTTATTAGTATTCGGTTTTAAAGTATTCATTATTTCTTCTTTTTTTTTTCATAAGTATTATTTTCACTTTACATTAAACATTTAATTAATTTATAATAATTTTTTTTTTGATATTATCGAAATGCCGCTTAAAACAATTTACCCCTCTATGTCATTGCCCGTAGTTATTAGTTTCGTCCCAAACAGAAGTATTTTTCGTTACTTTACGCATATCAGTTAATTACTCCTACA